ACATGGTGATCTTTACATTAGGAAAGACTGATAGTTGAGGAGACTGTATGCTTTAAAAGCCCACTTAAGCAATACAACATGGTGATCTTTACATTAGGAAAGACTGATAGTCGAGGAGACTGTATGCTTTAAAAGCCCACTTAAGCAATACAACATGGTGACACACACGCTTGGCTCCAAACTGACCAAACACACGCTTCCAGTTGAATCACTCTTGCAAACATGTGCCCACAAATTCAAAACATCTCACTTCAACCACCCCTCTTCTGTCCTTGATAATGATAGTTACTTGGTTATCAACTTGGGGGCTGAATGCCCAGGTATCCCCGTGCCGCACCCCTTACCTATTTTCCTCTCATCATTTTTCGTGCTGCTTTTCAACTAACTGAATACCTACAAGAGGCTAATTAAAACACTATGTCCTGTGCTGATACTGCGAAGAGAGATTTAATGAAAGAGATATGTTATCTTTACAACTATTATTGCAATTAAAGCAACAAGTACCAGGCGGTCGACAACTGAGATTTCTACTCATACAAGTGAAGCAAAGTATATATAAAAAAATAAATTTAATACAACTCTTGCAACTAGCAAATCGTATGGTTACGAGTCTCACATTAACAGGAAACAGTTTTGATAAGTCAGAGAAGTTTATTGTTAACACATGTTCTGTACATTTCATTGAATGCTGCCAGCATTGGAGGCGATCCTCGGCCACAGATCTGCGCACTCTTTTGCTACAGGACCAGTGATAGCAGAGCCTGCATGAAACATAATACAAGATTAATACTTCTTAAACTCATAAACAATCCACCAAGTTTAAAGTAAATCTCAGCTGTGACAGTGTCTTAATTAGCATAGATTTGCATGATTAACTCTCTTTCAATTTTCTCATTAGTCTTGGTTGTGATTGATAAGTCATATCAAACATGCGAGACAGTGTTTGACCACATCTCCAAATTCATAATGTACCTCAAAGTTCGTCAAAATACTCTGATGCGCATCATATTTTCAACTCTCAACAATTAAACTTTCATCTCTGACAGCTTTTCTGTGAATTGCATTTCCTCAAACATTTCCCCACCCAAAAAATACATTATCGTTACAATTTTGTATTTGAACTGCTGTCAGTTGTAAAACGTTAGCAGTTACCTTTCATTTCTCCCTTATTGTTCACTATGACCCCTGCATTGTCTGTAAGAAAAGGATCCATGTAAGTTTAGCTATTGCTGATTTTGACCATGGCATTATTTGACCACGCATGCAAAATATGAGATCATATTAGACTGCAGTATCCAGGTTTGACAAGACTACGAGTAGTTCCTCTTTCACTTAGTCTGTCAAGCATAACTGTAAATAAACCTTGAGGGAAAAATTTTGTGCAAAATCCTGGGGGCAAGAAGTGCCTGAAAGGAGCACCCAGCTTCTTGCCCTTTTCTTTTGCATCACAAATGATGGACTAACCAAAAGAGGGACTACTTGTACATATGTAGTCTAAGGATTGACTGGTGCATGAAAATTAATGTGTGCACGGTGGAATCAGACAAAATTTTTTTCAAAGATCCTAAAATACAAGGAAAACAAAGCAGCTACAAGTTAATGATCTATCCTCTATCTGATGACATAAAAAGATAATACACAGAGACATTTAACTCAGTGCCCTCATTTGCCCCTACCCCAGAAGGTTTGTGAAAAATACCGTACAAATTGTGAAATATCTGCTCCCTACAGTCTGTAAAAACCCCCAAAAAGGTTGGTTATAACACAACAGTACAACACTTAGTAGAGATATCACTCTCAGGGAAAATGATGTTAAATGAAGAAATAAAATAGGAGCAAGTGAAACAACAATAATTTTAAAATTGAAAGCGTAACAGTTTGAGTTATGGTCATTATCCACAAACACTCCAGGCTACACTTCAGTAAAGCTGATTGGATCCAATCAAATTACTATTGATAAATGTGAGGAAATTAATCCTTGAAATTTGTTTAATGTTGTTTACTGCCTTACCTTCTAGATAAGCAACTAAGTATGGAAATACTAGAAGGGCAAACATATTGATGAGTGATTTTCTTTTCCAGCAATAAATGTTCCCAAACAAGCCCCCTTTCTTTCTATTTCTCCTTTTTGCCAAATTCAACTGGTAATTACTTATCACTTACTGTTAATTCTATCACTCACACACCTGATTTTGAACTCAAGTTTAGAGCAAAAAGGTGCTATTAATAATTACAAAACAAACTGTTGGGGTATAGTGTACAATGATTAATCCAAGCAAGCATAAAATTGAGCTACAAATCAAAGAAGTCCTTAACTTACCCTCAAAGTAAATGAACAGTCCATTCTTCCTTCTAAACGCCTTCCGTTGTCTGATAACCACTGCAGGCATCACTAGGAAATAAGATATGTTTAAACAATTTTACATGAAAAAAGATAAAAAGTGCTCAAAAAAGTGAAATGTTAATTCTATGTGCAGACTGAGAAAAAAAATCACCTAGAACATGATAATTCCAAAATCTGTCTCCTTGACGATGCACCGATAACTAAGTTAATTGGCTGCTAGAATGTCCTTCACAATTTGTTGTCTCATTTTTGAATTTCAGTTCTGTGTTTCAAAATGCAAAAATTAAAAAAAGTAAACGCAACTCAACTTTTTAAAAAAATACAGTTAAAGGAGTGCATGGAAAAAAGTCCTAAGTGACTCATGAATGCATGTCAAAATTATCCATTTGCTTTACAAGCAACCAATATGGAGAATCTAAAAACTTATCAGAGGACACTTAAGGCTGTCTTCCAGTTACCCCTTCAAAAAATATCTTGACTTCTATAATGCGTAATAGACTTTTCCCCCATTCCAACAAAGAATGGTGCCAAGTCAAAGTCAGGATGGACAAAAATACTGCAAATGTATGAAAATGTCCACCTCAACCTCGCTCTGGTGCTATTGTTCAAATGTACTAAAGTGGAATGTGGGAAAGGTCTATTGTACAGAATTTTTGGATATGCTCCCTGGCTGTCCATTACGTTTTGCACACACCCTGATTCTACAATACATTCTTGCAATTTAAGTGTAAGAGGGTTAAATTCTTACCTTTTTTCCTAAGTTCTGGCTTTCCTTTTTTGACTGTTGCCAACACCATGTCTCCTGATCCTGCAGCAGGCAGTCTGTTAAGACGACCCTTGATTCCCTTTACTGCAATAATATACAGGTTCTTGCCTCCTGTGTTGTCGGCACAGTTTATTACTGCACCTACTGGCAGACCCAGCGAGATACGAAACTTCCCTCCAGAAGAACCTCCACGTCCTAGAATAAGGCAAACATGAAACTAGTCTCTGAATCCATTTGCAATGACTTAATTATTGTAGCGTTTCTTACTTTATGTAGTCTACACATTGCCTTTTCGACGTACAAAATGATAATAAATCTTGTTTCGATATGCCGAGTCTCCGATCGGCGGGTCTAAAACACAGTCTCCGATTTCGATATAATAAAACAAAGCTTTTAAAAATCTTGCAATCCTACTGCAGACCGCAAACGTTTCAGTACCCAAAACAGCTTCAGAAGGTATAAGCTACTAATTTGCGAAGAGCAGAAAAATCGAAAATCATTTTCGAGATGAATGGAGACTCCGAGCAACCCTTGGGCTTCGCAAAATATTGTCGAAACTAAGTACAAACTGAAACAAGAATATGTGTGCATGGATAGATTATCGAACATCTCCTCAGAAACACATTGATTTTTGTCGAGTAAATTTCCAATGGAAATCAACGATTTACTACAAAATAATAGGATAAACACAAATTATATTTATTGAACTTTGTACATGAACGAGAACTACGGTTAGGACGGGTATTAAACAGCCGATGCAACCCGATCACGGTACGCAATATTCACAGTTCTTACCTCTCTTCGACATGTTGGATAGAAAAAGAGGAATAGCAAGAAACGCGCAGGCGCCAAGTAGGTCCCAGTCCTCTGAGTGTTTTACTGTCGGGTAGGGAATGTTTTTCATCTACGATTGCAAAAGCGATAAATATTACAGGAGAAATTTTAGAGGAGAAGGGAGTTAAGTGTTTCCACATTAACCATTGTGCTGAATTTGTTGTCGCTCCATAAGAAGCTAATGTGGTAGATTTTCCCTTTTAGTGGTGGCCAATTCGACTTTCAGTACACCGTCTCCCGATCTCTCACGGCGCGCCGGCAGGGCGAGAAGAGGTAACTTCGGC